CCAGGAGGCATTCACAGAGCCAGTGATGAACCAGCCTGCCTCCATCATAGGCTGGAAAGCCATCTTATAGTAAAGACAAACTAGGTTCATTCTTGTTTATGATTAAACCTGTTTCTCAAGAAGTGGGCTATGACCCACCTGTAACCTTAACTACAAATGTTTCTATACTTCCTGTTCCAGGAAACAGCAACCATGCCTTAGTTTCAAAAGGACCACCTGTTGTTATGACCACCTTGCAATTGTGCCTTTTTCTTTTTTTTTTTCTTTTTCTTTTTGAGACAGGGTTTCTCATGTGTAGCTTTGGAGTCTTTCCTGGAATTCACTCTGTAGCCCAGGCTGGCCTCGAACTCACAGAGATCCACCTGCCTCTGCCTCCCGAGTGCTGGGATTAAAGGCGTGCGCCGCCACCCGCCGCCACCACCACCACCCGGCATGCAATTATGTCTTTGTTTCAAGTTGTGATGACAACTTGTTATGCCTATCTTCTGCTTCTGTAACCCCACCCATTTGCCTGCCAAATCCCCCACTTGGAAACCCCCTACTCCTGAACTCTAAAAACCCCTTACATTCCGCATGTCCAGTGCTGATCTCTTGAACCCCTCCTGTAGGGAGAGACAGCCTGTGTGCACAAATTTTAAAAGCTTGCTTTAACTAATTGTTTGCTTTAATTAATTTGGCCAAAATTTCTCCTCAAATCTGTGGAATTAACCCCAGCTGCTGTAGAGAGTAATTCAGAGTCCTGGGCTCTGTGCACATGGGGGAGATGTGGCCAGTCCCCATTCTAAAACAGGAGATGCCAGCGAGGTTGTGGGCTGTGAGCAGGAGTGATGAACTGAGTCTGGGATCAGGTCTCCTGAAGGTTAGCAGGGAGCACAAAAGGCTCAGAAGTCAGAACTGTATTTTTAGCCCCCTGCATGACGGAATAGCCAGAGGCCCTGGGGGCTGAATCATTGTCAGAGCCAGCCTGGTAAACCCATCTATGGAACTTAGCCAGCGGATGCCGAAGGTCAGCTCAAAGGGCCCCAGCCAGACCCCAGGGCTTCCTGCTGCGTCAACAGGAAGGGCAGTAGAGAGAGTCATCCTCCTTGTGGGCAGCAGGTGTGAGCTCCTGCTGAGGTCACTCCAGCCTCAAGCCTGGACTCCCAGGCCATCTCAGCAGCCTGTGCTTACCTGGGAGAAGGACTATGGCCTGGGTCTTCACTAGAACCCACCGGGCAAAGCTGTTGTTGGCTGTTCGCCGGGGATCCAGGAAGGACTGTGGGAACAGAAAGGTTTCAGGGAGCTGTGCTAGCAGAGACATGGATCTGTCCCAGGAGTGGTTGACGGCTGTCCTGAAAGGCCTGAGAGTCTCTCCAGCACAAGCTGGTCCAGAACTGAGGACTGCTGTTCCACAGCGCCATCTGGAGGGCACTCTGAGGCAACCACACAAGCTTCCTTTTAAAATTTTATTTCTTTATTGCGAGGGAAGGGGCACATACCACCTGGTGCCTGTGGAGTTCTGAGGACAACTTCCATGACTCAGTTCGCCATGAGGGCTCTGGGGTCAAATTCAGATCATTAGGCTTGGCAACAAGAGCCCTTACCTTGAGCCGTTTCCTTGGCCTCCAACCTTACTATTTTAACCTCATGTCAGAAATAAATCTTTAAAAATTAAGTCCTGGCCAGACAGTGGTGGCAAGCACCTTTAATTCCAGCATTCAGGAGGCAGAGGCAGGTAGATCTCTGTGAGTCTGAGGTCAGCCTAGAACAGAGAGAGTTCCATTACAGCCAGGGCTACATAGAGAAAGCCTGTCTCAAAAAACAAAACAAAACAAAACAAAAAGCCCCAAATAAGCAAATAAACAAATGAATGAAGCCCTGGCTTGCAATCTGTAACTCCTTGGAGCCAATAGGACAAGAACAATGAGGTGCAACTTTGCTTTAATTAGCTTAATTCTGTAAATGGCTTTATTGAGATATAATTCATGTGCTATCTAATGGACTCTAAGTGCATAAAATTTTTAAAAGATCTATTTTTAGTTGTGTGTGTGTGTATGTGTGTGTGTGTGTGTGTGTGTGTGTGTGTGTGTGTGTGTGGCCATGCAGTGCAGTGCCCACAGAGGCCAGAAGAGGACTGCAGATAATCTCTTAGAGCTGGAGGCAGAGGGAATTGACTCACCTGATATGGGTGCCAGAAATCCAACTTGGGTTTTCTGCAAGAAGTGTTAACCACTGAGCTCTCTTTCCAGCCCTTAAGTGTACAACCTAATGATTCTCATACAGTCGAGGGGGATGTACAGCTGTGCCCATCAGCTGTTCCTGCTTCCCGCTCACCATCCCCCCTCCAGGCAGGCACCAAGGTACTACTTCCTGTCTCCATGGATCTGCTCACAGACTAGGCTGGCTTGGAATTTGCCATCCTCCTGCCTCAGTTTCCTGAGTGCTGGGATCACAGGCATGAACTAACTGCCTGACCCACTTTGTATACCCACCAGCATCCAGTTCTTTCCTGTGGAGACCTGAGTTGGGCACAGGCCTCGTCTGTTCTACATGCTCTTCCATCCACCTCATGTCCCATTTCTTGACCCTTTCTTCTCTGAATGCTTCATTTTTTTGTTTTGAGACAGGATCTCTTTCTGAAGCTCAGACTGTCCTAGAACTTACTATGTAGACCAGGCTGGCCTTGAATTCAGAGGTCTGCCTGCCTGTCTCCTGAATAGAGTGCTGGGATTAAAGACATGTGCTACCATGATTTTGGAGTCTTGATAATGAGCTCTAGGGTCTCCTCGTTTGAGCTTTCAGACTTAGGTGACAGCTTTTTATGGGGGCAGGGTCTCATGTAGTTAAGGCTGGCCTTGAACTCACTATGCAGCTATTACTCTTGCATCTACCTTCTAAGTGATGGCAAATAGCATTACTTCCCCCACCCCCAGTGGTGCGCTCTGTCATTAGCCCACACATCACTTTTTTTCTGCCACACAGCTTCTCAGGGTCTGGGAGCGAGTTCCTGCATGAACAGCCAAAAGCAGAGTTGTATCAAGCATCTGGAACAGTCCCTGCTGAAGTGCAAAGATGTGTGTGGCATTCTCTGCTCCTATATCCAGCTGCCTTGGGCAGTGACCTCAGGACATAGTTTCTCTAGGACTTGGGGACAGGTCCACAATGTCACTGACATTGCTTTCAGCAGGAAGAACTGTGATGGCCCCTAGGAGTGGTACACAACAGTGACAATGCACGATTCTCAGGCTAGGACCAGAAGTCGTGAAACCTCCGCTCATTACATGAGGGACCTTCGCTCTGGTGAGCTCTGGCATCCATGTAAGATGTGTACATCAGGTCCCCATGGGGAGAGATAGAGACCAGGGTACCAAAGACAAGAGGAAGGATGAGGGAAAGTGTGTGAGGGGAAAGCCACACACTTTGAGTTTTCCTAACCTGAAGGAGGCACAGAGGGCCTTGTCCTCACAGATGAGCACTAGGGAAACCTGGAATGTTAAATACACAGGGTCATCCCTTCAAGAGAAGGAATGCGTAGCCTGTTATCTGCCCAGAAGACTGGGAGTGGATGTGGTTAATAGCTTGGTGACCTTTTCACCATCTGTGTGGCTGAGGCCACATTGGACCCTCCCCAGATCCTTATCATAAGCATGCTTTTCTCAGTCCGTCTATAGACCCCATCTCTATGGAAGGTGTCACGTTTACTTCACAAAGAGTTTCTATAAAGTCCCGTCTGATCTTTATTTAGCCTACTTTGTTCCTCAGGGAGATTTATGAGTGCTTTATCGTGCACCTGGGATTGAGTTAATTATCACCAGGAAAGTCTTCAGCAAATTGTGCTGTGCTTGAATATGCCTAAAACAAACTACTGCAGGTCAGACTTCTGAAGTCTGAACCAACACCGGCTGCTAAATTGCCTTCTTGCCTCCCACAGATCAATACTCTGCTAGCCATGGAGGTGGAAGAGACCCCCACACTAACTAGCTTTTTGGATTTCCCCCACCCCATGGAATGGGTGACTCCATGATTGTGTGAGCCTCAAGTGAGAGCAGCTTCGATGAGCCGATGCTCACATCCCTCCACATCACAAATGATCACCCTGCTCGGCTGTGACTGACTTGTCACTCCATGAAAGGCAAAGCCCCTTCTTCCCATCTCATCACCCTGGAAGCTCCCAAACCCAGACAACTGACCACTGGCGGCCGAGTGCCAAGGCAGTTATATTCAGCAGGGTCAGCAGGGTCCCTAAGCTGGGATTTGGACCGATGACCTGGGAACACTAAGTGGAAGATTATGTGACAGGCAGCCATGTCCTCCCTAGGCTTGAGGCTTCCAGGTGTGAGGTGTGCAGGTGCCTCTCTGCGCTCTCTGGATTTGAATTAACTGGAGGCACCCAAGGGTGACTGGCTTGTCCGACAGGTGACCTCGTTAAAACTTGCAGTCAGGGAGCCAACCTCAGCCCCACAGGTCCCCAGGAGAGAGGAGTCTGTCTTCACACACAGCTTCTGGTCTTTTCCTTTTCGACTCTTTGAGACAGTCTCACTCTGCAACCCAAGGTGGTCTGGAACTCATGGCAAGCCTCCTGCCTTAGGCTCTGGAGTCTGTTTTTATTTTTGGTTTGTAGTGTGATCAATAGAACCTAGAGTTCCATGCACGTTAATGAAGGGCTGTGCTTGTGAGCTATCCTCCAGCCATGGTCTTTTTGATCAAGGGGCCCCATTGCATGCCCTAGCCTGGGCGTTTCTCCATTTCTAGCTTTTTTCTTTCTAACCAAATTTCTCCAATTGACACACATTTCAGGTCGCAGGGATTCCGTGTGGCAATCAAGGAGCTGCATAATACTCCTGGGTGAACACAGTCATTAGAAGCACAGCTGAGATGGCACTGAACCGCCCCAGCCTCTCACAATGTTCAAAGGAAGCCCGGCTCATTTCCAGATTATCCACACTCCACACGCAGGGGGCTCATCCTCACAGAGCAGAGCAGATAAAAACACAACCATGTAATAACCACAAAGCACACCCTGGCAGGCAAGTTGTTTTAATGTATTTCAGGAACTGAGAGCTCTGTATGGAATTCAAAACAAAAGCAACATGCAGAAAGTTAACTAAGAAGGCAAGACAGGAAAACTTTGAAGACCATAAAATTGCAGACACAAAAGCTGCAAATTAAAAAGCATATACAGTTACAGATTTCTGTGACATTAGGAGCCAGAAGGCACCATATGCGTCCATCATCGTCAACCTTAACTGGTTTTGACTGGGGCCAGCCGTTGATGGCTATTCAACATCAAACCTAAGGACCATTCTTCTTGGGTCAACACAAGTTCACAGTTTTATGTTCATTCAATGCTTTCATTTATTTATTTATAAAGATTTATTTATTGTTACATATACAGTGTTCTGCCTGCACACTAGATGAGGGCACCAGATCTCATTATAGATGGTTGTGAGCCACCATGTGGTTGCTGGGAATTGAACTCAGGACCTCTGGAAGAGCAGTCAGTGCTCTTAACCTCTGAGTCATCTCTCCAGCCCCCAATGCTTTTATTTTTACTTACTAATATATTATTATTTCATCAATTAATTTGAGACAGGGCTCCTATAGCCAAGGCTGGCCTCAAACTTGCTGTGTAGTCAAGGATGGCCTTGAACTTCTGATCCTCCTGTGTCCACCTCCCAAGTGCTGAGATTACAGGCTTGGGTCACCACGCTCAGTTTATGTGGTGCTCAGGATGGAAGCCATGGGCTTCCTGCATACTAGGCAAGCACTTTACCAACTGAGCTCTGGTCCCAACCCCATTCATTCCATGCTGTTAACTGAGACACAGCTTGTTAAGGCACTCAGCTCCCCTTAGAAGCCACCAATGCTATTCATATTAAACACACACATACACACACACACACACGCACACACACACACACACACACACACACACACACACACACACACACCCCTGAAAGTCAGAGGTCAGAGAATATAAAGTGCAAAAATGGCATGCTGTGTTAATGGCTGCAGAGGTCCAGTTAGGAATTCTTTTTACTTTTTTTTACTTTTTTTTTTTTTTTTTTTTTTTTTTTTTTTTTTTTGGTTTTTCGAGACAGGGTTTCTCTGTGTAGCTTTGCGCCTTTCCTGGAACTCACTTGGTAGCCCAGGCTGGCCTCGAACTCACAGAGATCCGCCTGGCTCTGCCTCCCGAGTGCTGGGATTAAAGGCGTGCGCCACCACCGCCCGGCCCAGTTAGGAATTCTTTACTGATTGGGGTAGACAGGAAGAGACCAGGACCCCAGCCATACATGTGTTAGAGAAATGACCGGTATGAAACAGATTCCATGTGGACCAGCTTCAGGGAATGCTCCTATTCTGTACTCCACTGAGCAGGAGCTCCAGCAGAAATACAGATCCTCTGAAGGGCAGGAACTGCCCTCCTGGTACATCAGCGCCCTCTTGTTCACTCAGGGGCCTCAGATGGTCCTACCCATCATCACGTGTGAACTCACAAAACTCGAATTGTGTTGGATTGGTCATATAGAAGGGCAAGAGGGAAGACAAAGCCACACCGAGCAAGACACACAGTGACAGCAGAGCATCCGTTATCTAGACAAACCAAGGTGCTGGAGGTAAGGGAGGAAGAGCTGGGGAGCCCAGCGGGCATTCTACAAAATGGTGATTAGCAAGTTGTATGAAAGGGTATCAAAACAGTTTTAAAAAACTCTAAAAAGTCAGTTTGTCAAGCTCAAGTCAAGGTCTCCTACGAAGCTGCCCTGCACTCTGCAGGTTTGTCCTGGAGGCCCAGGGGCCACTACAGAGTGCAGCAGCAGCAGCAGCAGCAGCTGCCCCTGCAGGATAGACACCCCAGGCTAAGGGTGCATCCCACCACCACACCACGGGGACCAGGGTAAGGAAGGACAAATGGTGACTCTCTAAGAGGGTGGAAGGGTGACAGGCACCTTTTACTTCTGCCACTAGAAGGTTTCTCTGGGCTTATGTGCTTAGACAGAGGTCAGGACATCCAAACTTGCACACAGGGCACTGGTTGTTGGAGGAGGGACTCCTGTTCAGCTGGAGGCCTAAAATGCCACCTGAGTTAGCTGTCGGGGCCTCATCTAAGGCTGTCTGGGTCACCTCACAATTAGGGACAGGGAAGGGACAGTCACATTGCCCAGAACAAGGAGCCCGACCTAACCAGGTGAAAAAGAATAAACTGCCAGACAATCGTATCTATTTGGGGGCGGGGGCAACATAGGGTCTCACCGTGTTGCCCAATCTGGCCTGGGACTCCCTGGCTCAGGGATTCCTCTGATCTCAGCCTCTCCAGTGACTGGGTGGCAGGCATGTGTCTCAGCAGCGAGCTGCTCTATGCAGATGCCAGACACCAAGAGGCCCCGGCAATTGCCCCTGAGCTTCCTGCTCCCCTCCTATTTCTTATTTCCTTTTTGCCTTACTCAAACAGGGTTCCAAACCAAAAAACCTACAACAGATACCAGGTAAAACTCTAATTCTTTATAAAGGGAAAGATGCCAAGTCCAGTTCAAAGCCTGCCATAGTTATTCCAATAGCCACCTGCTCGGGGTCAGCTGGAAGCTGTCCTAGAGGAAACCTGTTTCCTTTCATTCTTGCATAGAACTTTCCATTAAAGCCACAGGTAACACAAGCCTGGCCCAGGGGCCTGCTGGGCTCTGGGCCTTTCCACGGATCCCACCAAGCTCAAAACCATGTCTCAGCAGAAGGCAGCTGCCCTCAACTATGAGAAAAAGCAGTCCACAGTGAAACTTACAGTCCGGCCTCCTTTTAAAGGAAGGCTCTCAGCTGTCACATAGCAGATTCCAAACCTAAGTGACTAACCGCATTAACAAGGCTGGAGGGACATTGTGGCTAACCCACAAGGCATCAAGTGGGATGGAGGCCACGTCTTGCCTTATCTAGGGCAAACACTGGCAGTGAGTAATGGGAGAGCTGGCTTGGGCTCAGCTCAGTGGCTTTCCTCTTCCCAGGGTCAAAGCTGTCCTGCAAGCCATTCATGGAGCTTTACGGTGTGCTTTCCCCAGACTGCCCAGTGCTGGCTGAACCCCCTCCTGTATGTTCATGATCTGTGGAGAAGAGGTCACACTTCCATTGTGCCTTCTGAAAGGTTTTCAAGTAATAAAGTTTTTCTTGGAATAGGGGTGGGTACACTACCCTGGAGTTCAGTACTGGGGAGGGGAGAAGAAGTGGGGTTTCAAAGCCAAAGTTTGGAAATAGTGGGATGATGGAAGTGAACGGTTAGTGCAAGACTTTTCAGAGCCTTTAATACACAGAAGGGCACAAAGCTCCCCGGTCATTTGTCTGCATGCCTTGCAGAAGCTTTCAACTGTCTCTGAGTCCTTAGGGACTTATGCACGCCATAACTGACTAGATATGCAGACTGCTTTACGATCGCTATGGAGTCCAGTGACTCTGAAGCCTTCAGTTCTAAGGCCAGTCTCCCCTCTCCCAGATTACTGCAGAAGCAGACTGACCAGAACCAGAGTGAACCCCAGGCTGGGAGGTAAGGAAGTAAACTGATAATCTGGGCATGGTAGCTGTTTTAGTTAGGGTTGCTATTCTTTTTTTTTTTTTTTTTTTTTTTTTTTTTCGTTTTTCGAGACAGGGTTTCTCTGTGTAGCTTTGCGCCTTTCCTGGAACTCACTTGGTAGCCCAGGCTGGCCTCGAACTCACAGAGATCCACCTGGCTCTGCCTCCCGAGTGCTGGGATTAAAGGCGTGTGCCACCACTGCCCGGCCAGGGTTGCTATTCTTTGAAGACATACCATGACCGTGGCTACTCTTATAAGGGAAAACACTTAACTGGGACTGGCTTACAGTTCAGAGAGGTTCAATCTATTATCATCATGGTGGGACGTGGTGGCGAGCAGGCAGGTGTGGTGCTGGAGAGGTAGCTAAGAGTTCTACATCTTGCACAGGCAACAGGAAGTGGGTTGAGACACTGGGCCATATCTTGAGGATATATGAGACCTCAAAGCCCACCTCCACAGTGACATACTTCCTCCAACAAGGCCATACCTCCTAATAGTGCCACTTCCTTTGAATGCCAATCAAACCACCACAGTAGCAAATCCTTAAGACCCCAGCACTTGGGAGGTAGAGGCAGGGGGATCAGTGTTTAAGGCCAGCCTAGGCTACAAGGGACCCTGTCTCAAAAAATCAAACTAGTGCACTGAGGTTTTGCTTCTGACACAGTGTTAACAGTGTCTTAAGCTTTCTCACCTGAGGTACAGATCACTAATGTCTGCCTGGGCTCAAGAGTCTAGTGCTCCCAGGAATGGCATTTCTTGGAAATCACCACAGGGCAGCAGACTTTGATGTTTCAGCAACTCACCAAGGCCGAGAGAAGGAGCTATCCTCTGGAGCTGGAGAGGCATCCCCCTGACCCTGTCCAGTAAGAAATGAGGTGTGGACAGATGGAAGCACCGAAGAGTCTGACTGGGGATGGTGGCCATGCCTATGATCCCAGCACTCAGGAGGCTGAGGCAGGAGGATCTCTGTAAGTTGGATGATAGCCTGGGCTACAGTGCATGACCCTGTTTCAAAGAAAGAAGGAAAGAAATTGAGAAAGAGAATCTTCCCAGCATGGTAAAAACCACTTAGCAGCAGCCAATGGGGCCAGGACAGTTGCTGGAGCCGGGGAAGGAACTCGGTCCCTTTCCTGGGGACCAGTGCACTCATTTGTGCAGTGTTCCTGATGGCTGCACCAGCCCAGGGCAATGACCGCACGTGCTGCGGGGCTGCGTTTTCATTTCTGAGGAAACAAAGGTAGATTTGGGGAGCTCACTCCAACAGCGACGACAGGAGGCGGGCAGCTCACATTACAGAATACTGTACATAAACACCTTGGCACCATTCTTCCCTCCCTCCTCTCTTAATGACGCACAGGATTCATAAAGATTACCAGCCAGGGAAGACGACACTATTCAGAAAAAGAATTGCTGCTATGGAACCTTCAGCAAGAAAATCAAGAGTCCCTGGGTCTCGTCTGCCTGTCCAGAAGCTTGGGGTCCCCATGTCTTTAAATGCTCAACAGACATGCGTGCTCTTGCCTGAGACAACTGAATGCAGAATGCAAACGATGCGTAGAACGCAAGTCTCTGGACAGGCCTCCTCCAGCACCTCAGCACGGCTTGGGGGTCCGTCCAAAAGCTTCAGCTAGGTTTGGGGAGGCCCAAAACGTAGAGACACTGAATTTCACTACATAATTTTCCACATAACCCGTGAGCCGGCTACTGTTGGTGGGAATAGTCACGGGGACTTTCTGGGGTGTGTGGCCCGGGAAGAAGGCCTGTGCAGACATGAGGACCCAAGTGTAAGTATTCAAACAAGATAATGTGTAAAGTTGTGAAGAATATTTAATTATTATTTATTGTGATAGCATAGAAATACCCGGGATCAAAAAAGTAGAAAAAGCTGCTAGGGGGTAACTGCCGTGGACGTGGCCGCCTCGGCCAGAGCCTCGGTGTCGTCACTGACCTCGGTCCTGGCGCTTGTCCTTGCTCCTCTTCTTCTTTTCTTCCAGCCTTGGGTTGAGGGCACACACACAGGCCGACACGCCTGCAATGGCATTGGGGAGGTCTGGACCCCGGCTCCACCTGTCGGCCTCATGGTCATACACCTGCACAGCCCTGGAGAAGGCCGTGTTCTCCCAGCTGTAGCCACCCAGGATGTAGATGCGGCCCTGCCACACGGCCACGCCCGACTCACTGTTGGCCTGCAGCAGCGGTGCCACGCGAGTCCACTGGTTGCACTGTGGGCTGTAGGCCTCCACGCCCAGCACATCAAAGCGCTCCATGGACTCCATGTGGTCGTCGCTGCCCCCGATGGAATAGATGCTGTCCCCCAGGCTGCACATGCTGTGCCAGCCTCGGGCTGTCGTCATGGGCCGTCTCTCCTCCCACACATCTGTCCGGTGGTCATAGCACAGCAGGTTCTTGCGGTACGGGCCAATCTGGTAGTCGTGGCCCCCTGAGATGTACACGAAGTCTTTGTAGATGGTGCCTGCGTGGCCATAGGTGAACCTGCAGAGAGGCGGGAGGACAGAAGAGTTCAGGGAAGAGCCCGGCCCCATGTCTGCGAGTAAGGGACTCGGGCTCTCTGCCAGTGGGGTACAGCCTGCTTCTCAGGAGGTCATGAGGGTCAGAGGAGAAAACTCAGAGCAGACAAACCACAGCCACCTCACAGACCTCGGCTGTCAATGGACAAGGGGCACAGAACGCAGGTGAACAAGTGGTCCCTGCCCCGGGGAGGGTGCATGGGAGCACTCCACTTTCTATGCAGTGTTCTGTAAGCCTGGCTCCTCCAAACATTTTCAAAGTGGAAAAAAGAGACAAAAGGGATGCTTAACTGGACCTGTGATGCACGCCTTTAATATTAGCTCTTAGCTGGGAGATCTCTGTGAGTTCCAGACCAGCCAGGGCTGCAAAATGAGACCTATAAATAAGGGTTCCAAATAATGTCAGAGAGGGCCGGCAAGAAGGCTCAGTGGGTAAAGGTGCTTGCTGCCAAGCCTGATGACCTGAGTTTGATCCCTAGAACCTGCACGGTGCAAGAAGAGATCAACTCCTGTAAGTTGTCTTCTGTCCACCCTGTGTGTGCTGTGGGACCTGCATGTGCACACCTCTCTCTCTCTCTCTCTCTCTCTCTCTCTCTCTCTCTCTCTCTCTCTCTCTCTCTCTTACACACACACACACACACACACACAAAGTGAATGTAAAAAACAAAATAACTCCATGAAACACCCCCCCCCCAAAAAAAAAAAAAAAAAAAAAACCTCCACGAAACCCAAAAATAAAGCCCAGGAGCAAAGACATGAAGCCTTGTATCCTGTGGTTTAGTCAGCAGTCAGGGCTGGAGAAGGCTGGGGGATGGCATTCACAGGAAGAGCCCAGGGCAGGCAGAAGAGATGGGGCAGGCCTAGCTCCTGGCTCAGGTGGAGTTTGTGCAGGCTTGCTATGAGGCGAGGCAATGCCTGAGCAAGGCTGGACAGGAAACTCATAAATATGGGTTGTGCACACACTGCTGCTGACATCATAGACTGTGTTTACACCAACTGAGGTCTCCTCAGAAATAACCCCACCCCCACACCTATGTTGTCCCATGACAGTGGTGGTGGTCGCACCTGCTCTTAGCATGACCACCAGCTTCATTTTGTCCCATAAATGTCAATATGGAGCTTACTCAGGGAGCCCATCAACAGGCAATCACTTACAACACTGACCACCTGCTCCCTGTAACTCTCTGGCTACCTCTCCACTCACCAGGTTGCTATGGATGCCCAGGGCCTAGTCACAGTGATACAGAGTGTCGCCTGCTCACCAACAGTGTCCAGGAATTGCCCCCTGGCTTCTGGAATCCATATTTATTTGAGACAAAGTCTCACTATGTAGCCTAGCCTGGCCTCAAATTCAATTCCCTGCCTCAGTTTCCTGGGTGCTGGGATTATAGGCATGAGCCCCATGCCAGGCTCAAGTGTGACTTTAAAACACATATTCACTCCAACCCCACATACCCTGCTAACTCTGGGAGACCACATCTCCAAGATACCTAGTGTATCCCACAGCCAGGAAGGTTCAGAGTCTGGGTTTAGGTATAGCATAGGAGTGGTAGACAGATGGTGTGCAGGTTCGGCAGACCCACAACACAACCCACACTTAGTGACCCAATACTCAGCTGAAGGCCTAGGGAGGGTGGGGTGCACTCCATCTCTGGGGCATTCCTGGCCTACTGGAAGCCACATGAGAATGTCACAGAGAGATGGTGTCTAACTTTCCCCAGGCTGTGCTGTGGTACCCATTCTGCAGGCGAGCAAATGAAACACGGGTAGGATGAGGTCCACGCCCCTCTGACCTCCTGCCTACACCCAGCTGGGCCTTCTAGAATGGGACTTAATATCCCAACTCAACACTTACTCTCAGAAACCCAAGGACCCAGTCAACTTGGAAACTAGAGGATGCTTGTCTTGAGCTACAATTGCCCTCAAGCCCCTCATGGCCTACCCCATGACGCAGAAGCCAGGACATTATAAAAACAGAAAGCAAGGCTTGAGAGATGGCTCAGAGGTTAAGAGCACTGGCTGCTCTTGCAGAGGTCCTGAGTTCAATTCCCAGCAACCACATGGTGGCTCACAACCATCTGTAATGAGGTCTGGTGCCTTCTTCTGCATGCAGAATACATCTGTATAATAATAAAAAATCTTAAAACAAAACAAAACAAAACAAACCAGAAAGCAAGACTAAACTTTATCCTTTGACAATATCACCTTCCAGCAGTCGGCCTCAAGCCCTCATCACCTTGGCAAGCCAGCCACATAAGTCCAGGAGTTGGTCTTGGGGCTGTAGGTCTCTACAGAAGACAGCGCTCCATTCTCGTTCCGGCCACCAACAGCCACCAGCATGTCTTCAATGGAGGCCAGGTAGAAATCCACACGGCGTTGGTTCATGGATGCCACCTGTGAGGGCGAGACACCTGAAGCTTCGCCTCCCAAGCCCTAGCACCAGGTTCCTCAACAGTGTCCACAGAGTCAATGGCCCAGGAGGGCCAGACAGTGGCCAGATGAGCTGGGGAGAAGGGCCTGGACTTGAGGAAAATGGGGTGCTATTGGTGGGAATTCTGAGACTCCTGATGCTTCCATCAGACCTCAAATCCTCAAGAAGTGCATAAGGGCACCTGCTCAAACTGGTTTGGCCACATAGTCAACCTTGTGGACTGGCATTATGCAAGAAATTAATGACTTTTTAAAATTAATTAAAAAGAAAAAAAATCAGTCTCCTGCACTCTTCTGACCTCCTCAGACACCAGGCATGCATATGGTGCTCAGACATTCATGCAAGCATAAACATACTCATACACATAAAATCAAAAATATAAATCTATATACAATTTAAAAATTTAAACAAAACAACTCAGTTTTCCCTTCTTCCCATCAGGGATTCCAGCATGCTGAGCACTGTCCTACCACTGAGGCACAGTTTGGCTCACATTTTTTTTTTTTAAATCAATACTGATCCACTGATCATCATCCATGTTAACAGACCAGAGTGACTGTGGTGGTCTGAAAGAAAATGGCCCCCAAAGGGAGTGGCACTATTAGGAGGTATGGCTTTATTACAGTAGGTGTGGCCTTGTTGGAGGAAGTCTTTGTTACAGTAGGTGTCTCCGTGGAGGCAGGCTCTAAGGTCTTTTGCTTAAACTTTGCTCAGTGTCAATCTCTTTCTTGTTGCCTATAAGATGAAGGACTTTCAGCTACTACTCCAGCACCACATTCGCCTGCACGCCTTCCCCCCATCATAAGATAAGGGACTGAACCTCTGAAACTGTATGCAAGCCACCCCAACTAAATGTTTTCTTTTTGAGAGTTGCCATGGTCATGGTGTCTCTTCACAGCAATAGAAACACTACCTAAGACAGAAGTTGGTACCACTGTTGTGATAGGCCTGACTATGTCTTTGTTTGGAGTAATATGGACTTTGGGACTATGGATTAGAAAAGCTGTTGACCATTTTTACTACTGCTTAATGGGCCATACTAGTAGGAGCATGGGAGATGGTGCTGAGTGTGATGAACTGTGGGAGGTTCACTCAAGAGGTTTCAGAGGAGAAGAATTTTAGTATGTTGCCTAGAGATCGTTCTTGTGATATTCTGGGGAAGAAAGTGGCTGCCTTTTGCCCTTGTCCGAAGAGTCTGCCTGAGGCTAAAGTAAGAATTTTGGATTAATTCAGTTGGCACAGGAAATCTCAAAACAGCCTAGTATAGTTGTGTGGGTATTAGTGATAATTCTAATGAAGATTTATAATGAAAAGGAGCAAGCTGAGCAGGGTAAATTACAAAATGTAAACTTTGAGGAGAAAAAGAGCACCAGGAAGTGGAATGGAGCTAAATCCTGTGTTCAAGGAGATAAATGGATTAAGAAATGGAATAAAGGAGTGGGGACCTCAGGGCAAGATCCCACCCAGCTAAATTTCCAACTTGTGAAAAAGAACTACAGAAAAGCTGTGTGTGGTGGTGCATCCCTTTAATCCCAGCACTCAGAGGCAGAGGCTGGCAGATCTCTGAGTTTGAGGCCAGTCTGGTCTACAGAGCAAGTTTCAGGACAGCCAAGCTTAGGCAGTGAAAAACAGAAAGCTGGTGAAAATGTAATGGAACAAGGGGGCCATGTTCCAGCCTCAGCAAGCAGCAGAACTTGGCAGCTTCAGCCATGCGGTTCTGCCTTTAGAGTTAAGGACAGCAGGAGTTATGGAATAAAGCTGCTGAGGCCAGGCCTGTGTCAGGGGTGTCCCTGAATGGAGGCCTAGAGAGGCCATTGTGTGAAGCTGTGAAGTTATTTTGTCATCCCCCCTGCCCCCGGAGCTGAGGACTAAACCCAGGGCCTTGCACTTGCTAGACAAGCGCTCTACCACTGAGTTAAATACCCAACCTGAAGCTGTGAAGCTGAAGCCTGGATTGCCTTGGAGATGTTGAAGATGGTAGAGCTGTGGGATACCTGCTGAGGAGAGCTGCTAACAGGGAGTGGAACCAGCCCAAGAGAAAGAAGTCTGTTGCAGTCAACAAACTGAATGGAGTTGGAGATCTGAAGAGCGTTTTGATATCAGACATAGAGATGCAGAGTCTGGAGTTTGCCCAGCTGGTTTTCGGTCTTGCTTTGGTCCAGTATTTCCTCAGTGTGCTCCCTTCCCTAGTTTTGGAACAGTAGTATATATCCTGTGCCATTATATTTTGGAAGTATGTGATGTGTTTTTTGACTTAATTTTACAGGGGATTACAGTTAAGAGATTGCCGTGAGTCTCAGAAGAGACTTTGAAACAAGTTTGAGACTATTATAGATTGTGGACACTTTTGAAGTTGGACTGAATGCATTTTTGCATTATGATATGGCTACAAGCCTTTGAGGGTCAGGGAGGGAATATGGTGGTTTAAAGGAAAATGGCCCCCAAAGGGACTGGCACTATTAGGAGCTGTGGCTTATTGGAGTAGGTGTGGTCTTGTTAGAAGAAGTGTGTCACTGTGGGGGCAGGCTTTGAGGTCTCATATATGCTCAAGATACTGCCCAAGGTCTCAGTTCACTTCCTGTTGCCTTCAAGACTCTCAGATACCACTCCAGCACCACATCTGCCTGCATGCCACCAGGCTCCCCATCATGATAATGGGCTGAACCTCTGAAACTGTAAGCTGCCTTCCCAATTAAATGTTTTCCTTTACAAGAGTTTCCATGGTCATGGTGTCTCTTCACAGCAATAGAAACCCTCAGACAGTGACACCATACAGGCAGTTGGAAAGTAGAAGCTTCAACCTTCATAACCAGGAGACCACAGGCCCAGCCCCTGCCACCAGTTTTTCAGAAGGGACTCCAACATTGGGCTTCCTAGAGGCCTTACTTAGCTTTTAGGGTTCAAGGTTTTTTGGTTTTTTTTTGTTTTTTTGGTTTTTTTTTTCTTTTTTCTTTGATTTTTTGAGACAGGGTTTCTCTGTGTAGCTTTGCGCCTTTCCTGGAACTCACTCTGTAGCCCAGGCTGGCCTCGAACTCACAGAGATCCACCTGGCTCTGCCTCCCGAGTGCTGGGATTAAAGACGTGCGCCACCACCGCCCGGCCTGTTTGTTTTGTTTTTGAGACAGGATTTTTTCTGTGTAGCCTTGGCTATCCTGGAACTCACTGTGTAGACCACACTGGCCTCCAACTCTGAGATCTACCTGCCTCTGCCTCCTGAGTGCCAGGACTAAAGGTGTGAGCTGTCCCCCACTGCCACTTAGATTTTTGGTTTTTAAAAAAAGTTTTAATGTGTTATTATTGTGTGTATGTGTGTGTTGGGGGTGGGTGGGGGGACATGCCATGACATGTATAGAGGTCAGAGGAGTTGATTCTCTCCTTTGCCATCTTGCTGGCCCAGGTTAGAGGTTTGGGTTTTGTTTTTGTTTTTTTTTTTTTAATTATTATTATTTTCTGTGTAGTCTCGGCTGTCCTAGAGCTTGATCTGTAGACCAGACTGGCCTTGAACTCATAGATATCCACCTGCCTCTGCCTCACAAGTGCTGGGATTAAGGGAGTGTGCCACCACTGCCTGGCCAGGTTAGAATTTTGATCACAGAATTGAAAGGCCAACTGGAATCCATTTTGGTTTTGGTTTTGCAACAAGGTCTCAATCTATGGCCCAGGCTGACCTGGAATCACCATGTAGCCCAAATTGGCTTCAGACTTGTGGCAATCCTCCTGCTTCAGCCTCCTAAAAAACTATTGGGGTGAGCTGCCGCGCCTGGAAGGTGTTAAATTCAGCAAACACTGAGGCAATTAGTCACACAGAGGTGTGAGCATAGGAGACAGATTTCAGTTGGTGGCAGTCTAGAGAGGTGATGGTAGAAAGGGACACTTCACTTCAGCCATCCGTATGCCAATCAACTCAGGCTACCACCCCCTTAGGCCTGCAAGGCCACACGCATATCCACAGGTGGAATGTGAAACCTGGAAAGGACAAGGAGGCAGCTTGGAACTCCTGAGCAGTCACTAGCTCAGCAATGGCTCCCACAGGCTCATATACTTGCATGCCAAGCCCCTAGCTGGTGAACCGTTTGGGAAAGATTAAAAGGTGTGGCCTTGGAGAAGGGGTGTCACTGGAAGTGAGCTTGGGGGTTTTAAAAGCCCATGCCAGGCCCAGTCTCTCTATCTGCTGCCTGTGGATCAAAATGTAAAGTTCTCAGCTACTGCTCTAGCACCATGCCTGTCTGCTTTTGGCCATGATGATAATGTACTCACCCTCTGAAACTGTAAGCAAGCCCCCAATTAAAAGCTTCCTTTAAAAATTTATTTATTTTGCCTGGTGGTGGTGGTGGTACATGCCTTTAATCCCAGAACTCAGGAGGCAGAAGCAAGCGGATCTCTGTGAGTTAGAGGCCAGCTTAGTCTACAGAGCGAGTTCCAGGACAGCTAAGGCTGTTACACAAAGAAACCCTGTCTCGGGGGAAAAAAAAGGAAAAAATGTATTTTATATTACTTGTATGGGTGTTTTGCCTGCATGTATGTATGTGTACCCCTTTTGCTCACAGAGGTCAGAAGAAGACCTCAGATCCCCTGGAACTGGAGTCACGGATGTTTGTGAGCAACCATGTGAGTGCTAGGAACTGAACTCTGGTCCTCTGCAAGAGAACCAAGTGCTCTTAACCAACCGAGCCATTTCTCCAGTCCTAAACGCCTAAATGCTTTCTTTCATAAGAGTTGCTTTGGGGGGCTGGAGAGATGGCTCAGCGGTTAAGAGCACTGGCTGTTCTTCCAGAGGTCCTGAGTTCAATTCCCAGCAACCACATGGTGGCTCACAACCATCTGTAATGAGATCTGGCGCCCTCTTCTGGCCTGAAGGCGTACACGTATACATAATTAATAAATAAATCTTTAAAAAAAAAAAAAAAAAAAAAAGAGTTGCTTTGGTCATGGTGTCTCTTCCCAACAGGAGAACAGTAACTAAGACACTCAGCTAGGGTGCACAGGGCTGATGTTCAGCCTCCATACTGGCCCTAGCTGGCATGGAGCTTTGTGGCTTCCTGAACATTAATTACTCTTCAAATTTCTCCACAAGAGAAACCCAGCAGAGGCTCTGAGGCATGGGGGCCCTCACTTGTCATGGAGCCTGGAGCAGCCATTGACACTTAATAGCTGTTAGTTACAATTAGATAAGACTGAAAATGTGCATTGGCCACATTTCAAGCCCTCAACGGCCACATAGGGACAGTGGCCACTGTGTTGGACACAGGATAGACACAGAATGCTCCCATCAGGGTAGAAAGTTCCATCAAAGGATGCTGCTTTGGGCAAGAGCCAGCCCTTCAGACGGTGGTTGCTTGGCCTTCCCTTAGCCCTACCCTGGTGTAGGTAGGAGGAGGGCAGCAATGACGTGGACCATCACTTTATCATCACAACTCTCTCAGAAGCAGGGCGGTCGACAAGGCCCCCAAACAGGAAGCCATGGTGAGGTTAGGGAGCTGCAAAGAGGGAGGCCTCAAGAGTAACAAATTAATTTGCTTTAATCTCACCTTGATCCACTGTTTACGGCGGGGGTCATACCTATAGAGAAGGTTGGAGGCTGCATCCCCTCCGTTGTCTCTTGAGAAGCTGCCACCGGCAATGAAGATGAAGCCCCCCAGCACAGCCACGCAGTGGTGGCTCCGGCGGGCTGGCAGGGACGTCTCCTTCACCCACTGTTCGCTCTTGGCGTCTAGGTAGCAGGTGTCATCACTCAGCTCCAGACACCGCTCGGAGACCTCCCCGCCCACGAAGAGCAAGCACTCCTCCGAACGCAGCACCGTCCGCTTCGTCTGCAGGACAGGCTGTGCCACCAGGCTGTTGTGGTAGTGCATGGCCTCCTCCACGAAGCCCTCCCAGTTGGCCTCACTGGGCAACAGGGAGCACATGGCCAGCTTCACACGCTGGAGCAGGATGTCCTCCGGGAAGAGGGGGAAGCGGATGTTCTCCAGCACACGGCAGGTGTGCGCCTCGCGCTCGGGCTGCTGGGTCAGCCACTGCAAAGCCACCTGCAGCAGGTCGTACTCCCACTGGTGCTGTACGCGGCCACTGCTCAGGTAGACGCACAGCTTCTGCACGGGGACGGTCTGCAGGAAGTCAGGCGTGAAGGACAGTGTGCTGAAGTGGCTCAGCACAAAGCTGTCGATGAAGGCGTCCAGCCGCTTGAGGCTGTAGATGGAGGCCAGCTCCTGCAGGTATAGGTAGTTGTCCTCACTCACTTCCTGCTCCAGGTACTCGCAGCAGAAGTCCACCACCGTCCAGATCTGCAGCAGGTGGGCCGTCTCCAGGATGTAGTCGATGTTGCTGCCGTCCAGCTCCAGCTCACTGCTGTAGAGGAAGTCCACCACAGCCTTGAGCCCCACATAGGAGGTGCCGACCAGCTCCACCTCCTTCTGGAAAGCCTCACGCATGCCCAGCGTGAACATGGAGTTGAAGTAGTCACTGCACACAGCCAGAAGGTTGCGGTGGGCAGGCACTTGCTGCTCTTCCACCACGAGGACCACGTCACAGAAGAGGCCATGCAGCCGCTGCTCATTCAGCCGCTGCAGCACTGTGGTAGAGTGGTCAGCCCAGTGGAACACCTGCACAAGAAGGTGCATCAGGAGAGAAAGCACAGGCCTGCCGCCCACAGGGACCACAGTCAGCCCAAGGTAACGGCAATTGTTGTAAGATGGGATGAGAGCCACGGAAGGAAACCCCAGAGCATCACAGGGGCTTCTGACAGCATGCGTCTCCTTCCTTCTTGCCCTCCCTCCTGAAATGTTTTAAATATCTGGCTTGGTGTAGTGGCACATGCCTATACTCTTAGCACTCAGAGGCAGAGGCAGGTGGGCCTCTGTGAGGTCAAGGTCAGTCTGCTTTACCTAGAAAGTTCCAGGCCAGCCAGGACTACATAGAGAAGAAACACTGTCTCAAATAAAATGAATCAAAAGACTAAAACATTTATTAGCACATGTGCACGCACCAGGTGTGAATGTGGAGGTGAAGGGAAGGCTTTTCTTCCACCTCCTATGTTCTAGGCGTGGAGCTCAGGTTGTCTGTCAGACTTGAGCGGGAAGTGACTTTACATGTTGAGCCGTCTAGCCAGCCTCAGTATATATGATTACTAGAAACTGTCTGCTTGGCAGATCTCTGTGAGTTCGAGGCCAGCCTGGTCTACAGAGCAAGTTCCAGGGCTGGAGGGATGGCTCAGTGGTTAAGACCACTGGCTGCTCTTCCAGAGGACTAGGGTTCAATTCCCAGCACCTACATGGCAGTTCACAACTGTCTGTAATTCCAGTTCCAAGGGATCCAACACTCTCACACAGACATAAATGCAGAGTAAGTTCCAGGACAGCCAAAGCTACACAGAAAAACCTGTCTTGAAAAAGCAAAAATAAAAAACCCCCAAACAACCACAGAAGCTGCCTGGGTGCTTTCTCTGTCTTCCTCCTTTATAACCAGGAGTTTAAGAGCTCATTTTCTTCTGTCTTCCCTTCTTTCTCTCCTTTCTTCCTTCTCCTAGGTCACAAGAGATGTTCTGTAAATGTTTTCCCATCAGAAAAGTGGTGCTACCCCCCCACCCCCGACCCCACCACTTACAATCAGATGGACCAAAGTTACAACTCCAGCCCTGCAGTCTGCTGACTGTGTGGTCTCAGGTTAGCCATGGACCCACTTCCTCGCCTGAGTGAGGCTTTCGAGCATGTTAAACGATAGACGAGCGTGTTTATCATTCGGGTTTAGGGGGTCAATGAGACTGACCAGTGGGCACTTGAGAAACACAGGCTGCTGTGCGTGAAGCTCTGAGGGGAGGCAGCCCTCCGTCTTACAAAATGCTGAACTCACTATCACGTGACACCCGAGTCCCTAACCCATGTCCTCTGCTCAGTTTTAAGGGGCCCACAGCCATCACCACCTACCTGATGCACATTCTCAGTCTCAGATTCTAGGCTGAGGACCCGGGACACAACTGCAGGAATGCTGTCCTTCTCAGGCTGGCCACTCTCAGCTGGTGGTCCTTGAATGGACCAGCTCTTGGTTTTTAGTCTACTTTGCTTGTTGAGTTTTCTCTTGTCTTTTTCCTCTCCCTTTCTCCTCCTTCTGTCTTGTGGACAGCCACCACGCCCAGCCCTCCCCTCCTCTTGCTATGTAGCGGAGGGTGATCTTTAACTTCTGCTCCTTCTGCCTCTACCTCCTGAGTGCTAGGATTACAGGTGTGTTCCACTGTGCCCTGTATATACACTGCTGGGGACTGAACCCAGGGCTTCAGGCGTGCCAGGCCAGTCAAGCATTCTACCAACTGAGCTCCATCACCAGCCCTTGTATTTCTTCTTTCTTTTTTTTTTTCTTGCTTTTTAAAATATGATTGTTATTACATCTGTTGACTTAGTTTTTATTGGGGGGGGGGGTAGTGCATGTGTGCCACTGTTTACTGTAAAGGTCAGAGGATAATTTGCATGAGGTGGTTCTCTCCTTTTACCACATGAATCCTGGGTTTTGAACTCAGGTTGTCAGCAAATGCCTTTATCTGCTGAGCTATCTCACCAGTCCTGTTTTGTTGTTGTTATTGTTGTTTATTTGGTTCTAAGACAGGGTCTCTCTGTAGCCCTGGCTGTCCTGGAACTCACTCTGTAGACCTGGCTGGACTCAAACTGAGAGATCCGTCTGCCTCTGCTAGGATTAAAGGTGTGTGTCACCCCTCCCCTCCACACACACACAGGCTGTCCCCCCGCCCCCGGGACAGTGTTTCTCTGTGTAGTTTTGGTGCCTGTACTGGATCTCGCTCTGTAGACTAAGCTGGCCTCGAACTCACACAGATCCACCTGGCTCTGCCTCCCGAGTGCTGGGATTAAAGGCATGAGCCACCACTACCCAGCTTCACACAGGCTATATTTTTGAGAGAGGATTTTGTACCGGCCAGCCTGGTACTCATTATATAGACAGGGCTGGCCTTAAACTCATGGTTGTCTTCTTGCCTCAGCCTTCAAGTGCTGAGATTACAGATGTATACCATGCCCATGCAATGGCCATTCTCCCTGGACTCTTTCCTGACTTGCTGAGGGTGATTCTAATGAAACCAGCCTGACGTGTGCTGGTGGCCAGAACCCAGGGAGTCTATCCGTATTCATTCTTGGGGTCTCAGGGAGTTGGACACAAACAGGGAAGAGATCCCTGAGGCCTTACCATCAGGAAAATGAGTTCTACCATAAGGTCAGGGGCTGGGCTCTCCATGAGACTCATATTGAGGTTGGTAAGCCCCCAAACGAAGGCAGAAGTCCCATGGTTCTTTTGTCCCACCCCTCATGGTGATATGTAGAATAGAGGGAGCTATACCCAGGAGCTTCTCTACAAACCCACATGTGGCCACAGTTAAGGAGACATCAGCCAGAAGCCAGAGGCAATCGGAATCGATACCATGGGTGGGGAGGGATTGCTCACGTACCTTTGAAGATTCGCTGATTTTGTATGGCCGAGATACTCGAATCTGCTTGCTTGCCTCCATTGTGAGTAATTTCAGGCCTACAATGAGAATAGCATTCCTGAGCATGCAGCATTAACTCCAGGTTGCTTATTAGCTGCAGGCCCTGCTGGCAGATACCATTGTCAGCAAATGAAGAAACCATCTCATGAAGGAGAGTGGGAAAGAACAAGATACTGTGGGTAGAAAGTCAGGCTGCCATAGCTGCTTAATGTAAGAACTGAGTTCGCAAAGGGAATTGAAGGAATGGGAACAGACAGCCCTCAACCACAAGAGCAGACTGTATTAATCTGAAGGGTATCTCAAGACCTGGTGCACAGAACAGCACACAGTGCAAAGTCTAGGTGTGTGTGTGTGTGTGTGTGTGTGTGTGTGTGTGTGTGTGTGTATGTGTGTGTGTGTGTATGGCGGCGGGGGGGGGGGGGGGATATGAGCTGTTTTTTAAAGTAAGTTGTTTTATTTGGGAACTGTGGGGTGGGAGATAGGTCAGTTCCTTTTCTCAGGACCTTGGGTAATTGCATGGATGTCAGAGTTCCTGGAACGCTGAGCCTACTTTATGGCCTTGGCTGGGAACAAGGGGACAACCTCCTTTACTTACACTTAACTCATGTCCCTCTGTTGTCTGAAGTCTGGCCCCTCACAGCATTTAGTCTGTGTCCCATGCTCATGCTTTTTCCCCTTAACTTTTATTTAATTTATTTATTCTGTGAAAGCCCGGGACAGTTCCTTTTTCCATCATATGGGACCCAGGGGTTGAACTCAGGTTGTCAGGCTTGGTGGCAAACGCCTTCATCCACTGGGCCACCTCAATGGCCCAGCGCCCATCTTAAGATCTTTAATCTAAACCCTATCTTTTGGCTATGGCAGAGTTTTTGTCACTTTGGAATCTGGACTACGGTGGATCCAAGCTAAGGACTTCCACTTGCCACCTCATTTAACTCCTGCCACACATTAGACAGGCTAACGTCCACAGTCCCATTTTACAGATGGGGACATTTAAAATTGTCATAATGCTAGTTCATGTCCGACCACCAAACCTGGGGGCCCTCCACCTTAGTATAGGAAACAAGGCCCAGACTTGACCAGGGTCACACTTTCAAATTCTCAAGAGGAAGTGAAGGGTGAGAGGTACTTGTGACTAATGGGTACAAACTCTGCTTTGGGAACCGTCCTCGGGGCTTCTGTGGGTCTTCTTTAGTTTTCTTCCATATAACCCGATGGGACCATCCCTATACTGTCCTGGAGTCAAAAAGCAAGAGGTAACAAAAGAGGTGTAAAATAAACCACACAGCATCCCAGTGTGGAGGATGCAGCAGGGCTGGCATGAAGACCCAAGAGGCCTCCCTGTTGTTCTGCACTCCAAAGCTGTACTGTTGTCTGGTCATCAAGTGGGGAAGAATCCACAGGACTAAGGAATAGCCTCAGGGAAGGCCCATGCTTTAATGCAAACATCAGCAATCCTGCTGTGCTGACCTTTCTGATCAAATCTACAGATGTGACACATGATGTTTCTACCTGCATTAAAAGGCCAAGCAACTTGTGAACACCCGGGGACCAGGCTTTGGGGGACTTGGAAGACGAGGAGGGCACCGGCAGGGGACACCCAGGAAGGAATAAACCTGTTGGGTTAAACTTAATATGACTCAGAGAAATTCTGCTCAGCTTGCTTCCCCACCTGTGGTCAGGAACATTCTGGGTGCACTTGGAGCCTAATGGAACTCCCCGCCCCTATATGTTGGGGGGCAGGGGGCAACAAGGGAGAGAAAGGGGGTCACACTGACGCGGGGATCACTGCAAACAGCCTAGAGTTGGGGATCACTGCAAACAGCCTAGAGTCAACACCTGCAACTTCCCTATCCTCAGTCTCCTGCTGTAAGCTTGCCCCAAAGGCAAGCACAGAGAACCCAACCTCCACGCATCCTTCGGGAAGGCTGGAAAGGTGCAGCCTCTCCTTGGTCTACTTAACAGCTCGTAAAGATAGTCTGTCTTCGCCAGTCTCACTTCTTCACCTCATTTTCCTTACAAAACCAACTTGGGCATAACACATATACTGGGATTGGGGTTCGGAGAAATTTTCCCCCATTCTGCTGAGTCCACAAGAAGAATCATTTTGTTACCTATTGAACAAAAGACTCTTTGCAGAACAGTGTGATAAGAAGTCAGCACGGTTATGAGATAAACAGGGAGAGAGAGGGGGCTCCGGTGTTTCCACGGAGGAAGAATTCCGGGGACATTTCATTCTGTTCAACTCTCCCCGGGGGAAAATAGAGACAAGTGGATCTTTCGGAGAAAACTAGCAACTTTGTAACTAAGCTGTAGGGACTCTATGTCCCCAGGCTGCTGGAGGCCCAGAGAGAAGGGAAGCCGTCCAGCCATCAAACGGCATCTACTTACTGCACACCCCTGACTTCCTCGGTTCACCTTGGCCGTCTGCGACCGAGCACCATTGTTCCCACAGTGAGAAAACCACACCGTGGCTGGGCAGGTGGCTTGAGGGGCCCGCCCAAGGTCACAGAGAGGAAAACATTGATAGATACCCTCTCTGCCCATCTACTTAGGGCGGCCAGCCAGGTTTCTGGTTCCTCGCACTCTGAGAGCTTTCTTTTCTAGGCCAAGGGATCCAGAGAGAGCGCTCCAGTGCTGGGCTCGCCTTGGGGACTGTATCTGTGGCCGCTAGACACGTCCTGGGCTGCGTGCAAGCAGGTGCGGTGAAGGTGCAGAGCCCCCGCCCCCGGGGGTCCCCGGGATCCCGCACGCAGCCCAGGGTGCACTCACCGTCCCGGGTCCCGCCCGGCGGGCGCTGAGGCGCTGAGGGAGGCGTGGGTCGCACCTGTGCACACGCGGGCCCGAATCGCGCCCGCTTGCAATGCGCTACCAGAGCAGCGCGCGCTGCGGGGCTCTCGGGCCCGCCCGAAGCGCAGCCATCCCTCCGCGAGGAAGTGCGAGCCTGCACAGTCAATGGCGGCTGAGGGGCGGGACGAGAGGCGGGGTCTGCAGGGTGGAGGGCGGAGCGTCGGCTGAGGGGCGGGTCTGTTGGAGGCTAACAGGCAGGAGGACGGAGCGCAGTTTTAGGGGCGGGGTCTGTGGGCGGGAAGGTGCTGAGCCGGCAAGGGTCTGGAAGCAGTAACCGGGTTTTCCTTACTATTGATCTTGCTCAGCCGGACCCTAGCTGTCCTCTAGGCTGGCCAGGCATGCTCCGTCTGGCCACCACGTCCCAGGCGCCGGGACACGAGGTGGCTCCGTGGGACAGACCTCAGAGCGGGTCTGGGGGCCCTGGGGTGGTTGTACCCTCCTCACCTTCTCTCAGGGGCAGCGTCCCCTCGCCCACTCTGAAAAGAGGCCTGCCTTTGTTGACCACTCTGCTAGTAACCACACTCCCTGCACCCTCTGTCCTGCTTTCTGCTTGTCCTTACTATTTATCCCCATCTATTACCTGTTCTTTTTCCTTTCTCTTTCTCTTTCATCATATTTTACATAATTCTTTCCTCCCTTTTCTTCCCGTTCCTTTTCTACTCGAAGTCCTCCAGCAAATGTTGTGATCCTTGCTGGGCTCCCATGGCAGGTACATGGCCTCTCGGTAAATATTTGTTGAACTGAGATCATCATTACTTAATCTATCCATTATCAAACTTCACTCACGCTACCGTCTGGAAAAACCTTGAAGAGCGAAAGAAACTAGACACGAAAGGACGCTCCCAGCTGCCTTGGGTGGCACACAGCTGTCATCCTTGGGAGGCTGAAGCAGGAAGATGAAGAGTTCAAGGACAGCTTGGGCTACACAGTGAAACTTTGTCTCAAAAAAGCAAACCACTTGAAAACAGAAGACCTAAGTAAAATGTTCAAACAGGAAAAACGGGAAAGCCAGGAAGCACAGCGGAGGATGTCAAGGGTGGGGAAGTTGGGCTAACTATGGGAAACTAGGGACTTTTGTGTGTTGGGGGGGAGGGTGATAAAAAAGTTTTGAAATGAGAATATTGTTAGTTGAGTGCCTGTGTGAGTCTCAATTTATATCCGCTTATTATCTATCAAGATTTAGCTAAGATTTTTTTTTTAAAGGTAGATCAAGCTGACTTCGAACACAGTTCTACCGCCTCTTCAGCTCGTTGCCATAGACAACCCAACTAAGACTATGTTAATAACCTGTAACTTCACATTAGTATCTGAGGTGTTGGGTTTGGAAAGCCAGAGTAGAAGATGCACAGTCCTGAGGTGAGGGGCTGTAGTCAGGCCTTGGACAAACCTGGAAATCCACAGGTGACTGGGCCTGTAAAGCTAGCCTGGCCTCATCCTATCTCCCTAGGAGCATGGAGTGAACTGGCTTCCATTTTTCTGCCTTTCAAAACATTTTTCCTCAATTACAAAAGTAGTGAATGCCAGCCAACCATGGCGGCTCACACTTGTAATCCTAGTGCTCAGGAAGCCGAGGCAGGAGGATCATCATAATCTGAGGTAGGGCCTTGTTATGTGGCCAGGGTCGGCTGGAACTCTTGGTCCTCCTGCCTCAGTCCCCTAAAGGCTGGGATTATATGATTCCTAAACAACAATAATAATGCCGGCAAGCACCTGCAGTTTACTATGCCCTGGACATTGCTCTAAACTCTGTATGCACAGGAAATCATTTGGTCTCCTTGACCCTGGGAGGAAGGCGTCCTTCCCTTCCTGTTTACAGATGCAGAAGGTGAGGCCTGGGGAAGGAAAGCCCCTTACCTGAGATCACCCACCTTTCAGAAGCAGAGCTCTGATGCCGGGCAGTCAGCCTCCAGAGCTCGCAGCCCAGCCTGTCCCCGGCTACCATAGGGCCTCATAAAGATACATCCTCCTCACAGAGAGCTCAGAAAACAGAAGCAAGAAAGGGGAAAACGTCAGCCACCAAAAGAAACAGCTGTGGGCATTTAAGGACATATGGAGGCACGGAGGTGCCCGCCTTTTATTCCCAGCATTTTGGGAGGGAGAGGCAGGGTCATTCCTATGAGTTCAAGGCCAGCCTGGTCTACATAGCGATTTCTAGGCCATCCAGGGCGACATAGAGACCTTGTCTCAAAAAAAAAAAAAAAAAAAAAAAAAAAAAAAAGATACACAGCCCAAAGTCTTTCCCATGTTGTGTATTCTCTGTGCATCTATCCAAACGAGATCACATGACTTGGGCTCTTGGGCAACATTTCCTCTCTTTCAGTAAAGCCTCCCCTGTAACATGGTCCTAACGGGGAGGGTCTGGTCCTGCAGTGCAGATTATGCACTGGGCCTCCCGCAGTGGTGAATGTCCCTCCTGTTACAAATAGCATCCCTGTTATAAATGACATGGAGGTGGGTACTGCTTGCCCTTTCTTGTGTACCGCCCCAAAAGGAGGGTCTTAGTGGATACCCCTGACAGGGACTCCACACTGTCATCTCAGAGATGCAACATGAAGCTGTGGCACAACACAGGACAAAGCCTTTCCTTGCTTCTGTGACCTGCTTCGGAACAATCACAGTTGTGGTGTGTGTGTGTGTGTGTGTGTGTGTGTGTGTGTGTGTGGTTTTTTGAGACAGGGTTTCTCTGTGTAACACTGGTTGTCCTGGAACTCACTCTGTAGACAAGGCTGGCCTGGAACTAACAGAGATCCACCTGCCTCTCCCTCCTGAGTGCTGAGATTAAAGGCTTGGGCCACCACTCCTGGCTCCAATCATAGGTGTTAAAGTCACTATTTCATTTTGAATTCCCTGGGACATAGGGAGGGAGACTCAGGAACACTTGCAGACTGTCACAGGCCATACTGAGGAATTTGATAGAGAGCACTCACAGGTCCCCATTGGGGACAGTGATTAATAGGTAGGAATGAGGGACTTCCATGGCCCAGAACTATTACCTGTTCTACCGTCCCATCATGCTTTGTATATATAGAACAAGTGCAAGGTCAAGTGACTCTGAAGTCCAAGACAACAATTTAAACTTCAGCTTTGGCCTTTCTAAATACCGGGCCTGTGTAACCCCAGAGGCCACAGACCTATACGGCTGGCCATAGAAAGCAGTTTGGATTGCCACCAAAGAGGCCAACTCTAATGAGGTCTGTATTATTTCTGTGCCTACCCCTCTGTTCAGAAGTAGATGTTAGGGCTGGGAATGTGCCTCAGTGCTAGAGTGCTTGGCTAGCATGGCTGAAGGCCTGGATTCTGTCTCCAGGACAGCATAAAAACATAAAAAAGAAAGAGCTGGGCGGTGGTGGCGCACACCTTTAATCCCAGCACTCGGGAGGCAGAGGCAGGCGGATCTCTGTGAGTTTGAGGCCAGCCTGGTCTACAGAGCAAGATCTAGGACAGGCACCAAAACTACACAGAGAAACCCTGTCTTGAAAGACAAAAAAAAGAAGAAGAAGAAGAAGAAGAAGAAGAAGAAGAAGAAGAAGAAGAAGAAGAAAGAAAGAAAGAAAAGGAGAGAGAGAGAGAGAGAGAGAGAGAGAGAGAGAGAGAGAGAGAGAGAGAGAATGCAGAGCACCAAAATACTGTCGAGGTTGGCTGGGCTCCTGGAGGAGAAGGCTGGGCCCAGAAGGTGGGGCCCACTCTCTAAACACTCGGTTCTGCCTGCCAAAGGTTTGTCCCTGGCCTGGCCTTCCTCCCAAGGGCTGAATAATCTAGATAGTTGACATTCTGCACAAAAGAGCAGGCTCCCTGACTAGCCCCAGTCATGTCTTTGCTGGGAACCCTTGGCCGGTACATCCTGTTTGGAACTGCTGAGGGGCTAGGAAGCCCAGGATGCCTTTGGAGGATGAGGCTGGCATGTGGAGAGGGCCATAGGGGGAGTATAGGCCAGTCCTGAGTGGGGGTGCCTCATCTCTGAGTAGAGAAAAAAAACCTCCCTTCTGGGTTGTTTATCACCCCTTCCTCCCTCCCCCTCAACCTATTTTCCCCCAGTTCTGCCTGGGATGAGCCCTGGCATGGCTGCACCCTTGATGTGTGAATGGTACCAGCTACTTTACTTTGTTATGCCTCAGTTTCCCCACCTCCAACCTGCTCCTCCCTCCTGGTGATGTCATCAAAGTACAATGAGTTAATCCATGGTTTCTTCAAACTATCTGTAACATAACTGTTAACTTTAGCTGATGATATAAGACTCTCGACCAACCACACAGGCGCTCTTCCATTTAAAGTCCTGATCCCTGATAAAATCGACATAGTCTGTGGACTCTCTCTAGTACCATTTGTACTCAGGCCATCACATCATCTCCTTCAGACATTTCTCAACATCACCCTTTGAAGGGAAGGAAAGGAAGACACCAGCCAGCCTGGACAGAGGCCTGGAGGAGGAGCGAGCTGCCATCTGGAAGCCACTATGTGCATAATGAGTGCACACCCCAGCTCTAGCGTGTTACCCCTGAGGTCCCTCACCCACTGGTAGTGCTCACAGCCTGGGTGCGTGTCACGGTGCCTTGCTTCTTCACTTTCTGTTGAGCCATAAAAGGATAAGGCTTGAGGACTCAGGACATCAAGGTTGCAGGCCTTGAACACTGTCCCAAGCTCAGCAGGTTGTCCTCAGTCGTCCAGATCCCCTCTGGAACCATCATATCGTTCACAACCTGGGTAAAAGCCCTCCCAGACTGCTGCGGCAGAAGGACGGACGGCAAAAGCATGTGCTGGGACCTCCACTCACTGGCAACTCCTCCCCTGGCCCGTGGAACCTAAAGCCAGGGATTTCTATAGTGCCACAGGGAAGCCTCGACCTTGTATGCACTTTACATCCCGGAATCTGGCATTAGTCTCTGGTGATCAAACCCTTAAGCTCCAGGCTGTGCTATTCAGAGAAGCTGCCAGCAGCCATGTGCTGCTGTTTCTAATGTCAGCTTTCATCAGTCAAGATTTATATAAAATTATAAATTCAGATTTCCACACACTAGCCATATTTTGAGTCCCCAGTGGTCACATGTGGCTAGTAGCTGTCATATGGGACAGATTACAGACCATGCTCATCCTTCCAGAAAGTTCTATGGGGCATGATGCCCTAAAGTAG